TATTTGTATTTGTAATATATTATATTATATATATTATATAATATAAATAAATATTAATAAATTATATAATATATGTTTGGGTATGGTTTCTATAAGGTTGCAACCTTAAACAATCCAATTAAGGCGCACCTTAAAATTTTATTATGACATGTAATTTTGTTGTAAAATTTCTTAGTATTATCTTAAAATCTATTTTCATACCTAGATAGAAAATTTTAAATACCAAAAATGGTTAAAATCAAGTACATCTATAAATATATGAAAATCTTGAAAATGGACGGTCTAGATAATGTGTTGCAAGATGCACTATTTTCGAGATTCAATTTTTTTTTTTTTTCATATTCATATATCTCAATGTTGAGATGATTGATTAGAGGGCTTTTTCAACATTAAAACAACATTTTTGATAGATTTTTGGGGTGCATATATGATTCTACATTTTAAGGTTGTAACCTTGAATAAACATTTCCCTATATATTTTAGGGAAAGCTTTCTATGTTCCCCACATAGCAGTTCTATCCTGCCCTTATCCAACCCTCTATTTTTGAATGGAGGGTTAAGATTGCTCCAATTACAATGTCACGTCTCTACATTGTTTTATTTTTAATTTTTTTTCTATAAACTATTTTGACACCAAATTTTGGACGTCCATTCCTCTATTAAACTCACACTAACGAAAAATATAAAAACATATTTTCAATAAATAAAATAACCAAAATACCCCTGAAAATTTCAAGGGGTATTTGGGACATTATTTTTATCGAAAATTATTGTTAATATTTGTTTTAGGTGCGCCCCAATGAGAAGATGACACGTACCAAATTTCATATTCAAAAAATTTGTATTAAAAAAATTTATTAAAATAATTTGAGACGTCGGATCTATGATCAAATGGTGAGTGGCTCTCTTGATAAAAAATGGACGGCTGCATGGTAAGGGGAGGATAGAATTTGTCATAAGTACCTAGAACTTCATCAAACATATATCAACTTTATATTTCAAGAAGTTGTCATAAGTACCTAGAACTTCATCAAACATATACACTCAGAGTTTCCTTAAATAATTTATTGCTTTTTAACGAAGAAGAACTTCCAATTTTCTAGGGACATTATTCTGCTAGTTATCAAACAGGCCCTTATAGGATTTACATGGTCATCTTTATTATCAAACAGACTCTTATAGGATTGGGTGCGGTTTGTATAGAGCTTAGGCTCTAAACAATCAACTTAGATCCTACCTTCAAATAGTGTCGAGAAATATGATTTCAATACCAGAAATCTTTTTGGTAGCCTTAAAATATATTTTCATATTTATTTATAAAGTTTAAAGCTTTAAAAATACTGTAGATCGAGAGATCTATGAAAATTTGAAAATCTTGAAAATTGACAGTCCAAAAATGCGTCACAAAATACATCCTTTTCAAAACTTGAAATCTATATCTTTCTCATGTCAATACATCTCGATATCAAGATGATCAATTTAAGGATATTTGGACATCAAAACAGCCTCTTCTAGTGAAATTTTTGAGGTAAGCTCAAATTTGAGTACTCCTTACAATCAGTTAGTCGTTAGTCTTTTACAGTTAGGGCTTGGGAGCCTCCGTCCCTTTATTGGAGGAATGGGATATGAGTAGCGATCATCCGACCGGGCAAGTTTGACCGGTTCGAGCACCAAAATATGTGCTCCAAAATAAAAATTATAAAAAATTGCATAAATATCTGTTTTAGTTTCCGTTATTATCAAAATATCGAATATTTTTTTGTCATGTTCATTTTTTGTACTTCATGACAAATTTTTTTAAAAAGATGAAACTGCCCATGTGGGTAATCCAAAGGCAGCTTTGCCAAATCGTGTACACCAGTTTCTCATTGGGAGAGAGACAGGTTGAGAGAAAAAAAATTCAGTTATTCAAAAACCGAAATTGGATCGATTTCAGTTTTTGAAAAATCGAAAATGGGTAGTTTCATCTTTTTAAAAAAAATTGTTATGAAGTCCAAAAACGGACATATCAATAATAACATAAAGTATTTGGTATTTTGGTAATAACAGAAACTAAAACGGATATTTACATAATTTTTCTAAAACTAAGACCAATCAAGCATATTTCGACAACCTTTTTTCTATAATATTTTTCATTTTTTTGAACGACTATTCATACATGTCTTTATATTTTTAGATTTAGTTTGATCAATAGTCAGATTGTTTAAAAAACTATTTTAATAGGCAACTTAATCATTAAATAAGGGGATATTAATTTTTTTTTACAAAAATACAATAATAGTTTAGAAGTCAGTATCTTGAAATTTTATTTATAGAGTATATTTATCTTTTAATAAGAATTTTAACTTTATCCTTTTATGAAAATGACTAAAGTACTCATTGTTTACTAATATTTATACAAACACCCTTATTTGATTAAGAAGATAATTTAAAAAGCAACTTTTTTTAAAAGTAACACTTCATGTTTAATAAATTCACCCATTATAACTCACTCTAACATTAACTTTTATAATTTCAAAAATTGTGAATTATAAATTATCCCAATGAATAATCGTTCTCGCCCTGCAATGTCGTGCCCAATTGCTAATGATACATTTTGATTTAACTGCAGAGCTAAAATTGCATTAAAAAGGGTTCACGTGAGTTTTTTTACCTACGACACGCGTGCAAGTGGCATAATACATTGTAATTGATTGTGTACATAAAATAATAATAATTGATTTGTCCAACAAAAAATCCAAAATTTACAACAACATTGGCCACCATAAAAATTCTCTAGCTCGACCAATCAAACTGGTGTTCAAAATGTGGCCTCGACCTCGGACTTTGATAAGGTCCCAATCTTGAGTAAGGCAGAGAACCAGTCGAGTTTACCAAAGATCCTCGGCACATCAGCCCATTTTTGGGAGATTTTTATGTAAATTACTAGTGTTTCGATCTTGAGCTGTCCTGACGATTCCAACTCGGCTCGATGATTTTCGAATTATTAAGTCACACTATCATTTTATGATGACATTAAAATCTGTGAAAGCATGATCCATGATAATGAGAGCCACATTTAAATGGGCTACGTACTTTTAGATATTTTTTTTTTTTCATATTTAAATAATTGTACTGGACTTTACTCCAAGTAAATGATACATCTCGAGCCACTCGATTTCACATCTAATAATCGATAATGATTTTAATTTTTTTATATAAAAAAATAAATGATTTTATGGTATATGTTTCCCATTTATATAACTTGTAATGAACTTAAAGTAAGTAGGATTTTGGGCTTTGGCATCCACTTTGAGGTTCCCTTTGGCCACCCTAACAAGATTGATGTATAACTCGATGTCATGTGTTACATAAAGTTTTCGGATGGAAAAATATATTATGAACCATATGAGTAACCTCAAAGTTCAAAAAATACCATACGAGTATCCTCTGTACAGTGAATGGATGGATATGGTGATGGAGCGTGAACAAAGTCGATGTGACCCAAGTGGTGAAGCAGTCTTTGTTTATGAACAAATTCCTACAGTTTCAGGAAATTTCCAAAGAATTGTATGCAATAATAACTTTTAGGGTGTGGTTTCTATAAGGTTGCAACCTTAAACAATTCAATTAAGGCGCACCTTAAAATTTTATCATGTAATTTTGTTGTAAAAAATGTTTAGTATTATATTAAAATCTATTTTCATACCTAATTAGAAAATTTTAAATTTCAAAAAGGTTAAAATCAAGTAGATCTATAAATATATGAAAATCTTGAAAATGGGAGGTCTAGATAATGTGTTTCAAGATGCACTATTTCCGTTATTCAAAAACTTTTTTTTTTTCATATTCATGGATCTCAATGTCAAGATAATTGATTTTAGGACTTGTTCAACATTAAAACAACATTTCCAATAGATTTTTGAGGTGCATATGTGATTATACATTTTAAGGTTGCAACCTTATATAAACTTTTCCTAACTTTTAACTATGGCTATGGCATACCATACCATTTTCTCCACATAAAAATTCGACGTAGATTCTCGCCGTATTATCACGGTCAATATTGTACATTCTCTCTTTCATTCGGCTAACAAACCCTAGCCTCTTTTTTATTTTATTTTATTTTATTAGAAAAATTTCGTATAGAACCCTAATTTCTCGTATTATTTCATGGTAGGCCATTTTTCCATTTTTCTTTCAAGGCATAAGGAAATCCGTAAGGATTTCACTCTACCTCTTCATCTCTTATTTCCCTCTTTTATTGACTTTTGACCATAAATCTTTTTATACTATTTCATCCCAAAAAAAATTTTAACTCTCATTTTCCCTTTCCACCCATTAAAAAAAAATTTAGGTTGAAATGGTATAAAAATCTTAATTAGGGTTAATTTTTATGATCGAAGTTATATGGAGATAAGAGATGAAGGGGTATGACGAAATATTTAAAGGTTTTCTTATGTCGTTTGAAAGAAAAATGAAAGGGGGTCTACCATGAAATAATACGAGAAATTAGGGTCACTACCTCTTCTAGAAATCTATGCCAAATTTAATGGTGATCCTTTGGAGTCCTACACACATGGGTATGGAAAGGTCCCATAGGATTATTACTCTTTTTTATGTAGATAAGGGAGTTATCTTTTTTGAAGGTGTGGGGGTGAAAACCACATGGTGGTAATGAGACATGGGGGTGCTGCCACCACAACCCAGTCCCTTTCCTACCATACCCTTACCTTGTTTACATGAAGTTCACAAACAACCCGGTGTAAACTTGTCTCAATTAGGGCTGGGCCGGAAGGTCCAGGCCTAAGGGCTCAAGGGCACAAAATGTGGGCAAGGCCTCTTTGGTCAAATACAGGTTTGGGCTCCCGGCCCTATAAGATATAGGAACTGGCCCAGCCCAGCCCACCTTGCCCCAGCAATGTAACCCTATAAGGGACGGGCCTAGCCGGACCCGTTGCAAGCCCTGTCCCCATGCTGAAGATTTGACCTCTCCAAGTTCTGGGTGTGTCTTTTGGCAGAGTTGGATTGGTTGTTGTTGAAAAACTTGAGGGAAGAGATGAACCCACTCCTAGGTTCATAAAGATCAGGCTTTTACCAGAACTGTGAGAACTCTATAAATTTCTGTGTCGCTCTCCATGGCCATGACACCCTTTTTAAAGAGGGATGGAGGACGTCGTTCTCCAACATTCGGCTTCCTCCTGAAATCTCTGAGAAAACGTGGCCCTGTAATCCTAGGAAGTGGGTGGTTACATTCTAGCCGTTAGATAACGACACTTTCTCTCTCTAAGGAGCCTCCTTTTTTTAGTGATAAGCATTAAATTATATGACAGAGAAATATTGCACATTTAAAGGTCCCATGGCCATACACACGTACTAATATCTCCCACTTGGCCATGAGGGCCAGATATATTGAAATATCATAAAGTCTTTACCACTTAATGAATTTAACATTTATGTACATATTTTTGTCATGAGGCTTTCACGCAAGTGCGATTATACATCTCATAACAAAAAATATCCAAAGTATGTCATGGTTTTTCATTCTAATGCGGTTTTTCCTCTCATGACCAAGACATCAAAAAATATCCCATTTGGGAGTTCCTGACTTAAACAATTCTAAGTCTCATTAAAGCTATATGTTTTGATAATATTTCTGCACTCAATCCATTTGTTAAAGGGTCTACAATCATATATGAAGATAGCAAATAACTTACAGTTATTCCATTCTTTTTAATAATATCATAAATATAATGATAATCAATTTCAATATGCTTACCCTTGGAACTATAAGCTTCATTTATAATTGATAAAATAGTAGCCTGATTATCACAAAAAATTTAACATGTCCGTCGATTATATCCAGCTTCAAATCATTTATGAAGCATTTAATCCAAACGGCATAAGTTGTAGCAATGCTACAAGCAATTTCCATAGTATACCGAGCTACACAACCTTATTTCTTACTAGACCAAGAAACACATCCACGTCTAAAGAGGAATACAATTCTTGAGGTTGATTTTTTATCATCTAGGTCTCTTGCAAAATCTGCATCAGAATACCCAGTAACATTTAAGTTGTCATCTTGGAAGCACAACTTGTAATTTTTAGTTTTCTGAATATATCTGAGTATCATTTTTACAGCTTGCCAATGAGCCATTCTAAGATTACTCTGAAATCTACTTACAAGACCATATGCATGACTCAAATCAGGTCTTGTACACAACATGACATAATTTATGCATCATATAGCTCGAGCATCTGGAATTCTTTGCATATTAGCTTTGTCACTATCATTTAATGAACAAATTTTCTTTGATAATTTCAAGCCTTTACAAACATGTGTATCTATGGGCTTGCAATTTTTCATCTTAAATCTCTTTAAAACACTTTCTAAATAATTTTCTTGAGATAAACATATAAGTCTTGAACTTCTATCTACTGTTATCTTAATGCCCAATACATATAAGGCTTCTCCCATATCTTTCATCTCAAAATGGGAACTTAACCATGATTTGGTATGGTTAATCATGCCAATATCATATCGAAATATCATGAACATATAGTGACAATATAACAAAATTGCTCCCAATATTCTAAGCTTATACACAATGGTCTAACCTATTGGCTATATAACCAATTTCAATGATTGCATTATGAAAAGTAAAGTACCATTGCCTAGAAGACTGTTTTAGACCATATAAAGATTTCTTAAGTTTATATACTTTGTCTTTTTTGCCTTTAATTACATATCCTTCTGGTTGTTTCATATATATATCTTCTTTTAATTCTCCATTTAAGAAAGCTGTTTGGACATCCATCTGAAATAATTCTAAATCATAATATGCAACTAATGCAAGGATGATCCTAATAGATGAAAAATTTGATACTGGAGACTAAGTTTCTACGCAATCTATACCCTCCCTTTGGGTAACTCTTTTAGCTACCAACCTAGCTTTATATTTATCAATGGATCCATTTGTATTAAGTTTTTTCTTTAGGATCCATTTGCAACCGATGACTTTTCTATCTTTAAAGAGGTCAACCAACTCCCATACTTGATTTCTTTTAATATAATCAAGTTTATCATCCATGGCTTGAGTCCACTCAGCTGAGTCATGTGAGCTAATAGCTTCCCTGTAACTACGAGGTTCATCTATCGTATCATCACTCATTGAAGAACAATTATCTTCATTCATAAATACATAAAATTCTTCTAAATTCGTAGGTGAGACTCTAGTTCTTTTAGGCCTATTTGGTATACTTGATTCAATTGAATCATTCTCACTAAATGTAAAGGGAGTTTGAAAAACAGGGTCTTCCAGACTCTTATCTTTATCAATTTCATGTAAGCCAATAGGCTTATTTAAAATATTTTTATCATTTATATTTTCTAATAAATGAGCATCACGACTCTCTACTAATGATCTAGTATCATGGTTATAGAATCTATACCTTTTAGAAATTTTTGAATAGCCTATAAAAGAGCATTTTATAGTTTTACTTTATAATTTATCTCTATTTTGTAGTGGTTCAAGCACATGTGCCCAAGAACCCCAAACTTTTAGGATAGTAAGGTTAGGTTTTCTACCTGTCCATAATTCATATGGGATCAAGTCTATAGATTTAGTTAGAACATGATTAATGATATATATTGCAGTGTTGAGAGCCTCATCCCAAAAATGAGGCTATAAATTTGAATGGCTCATCATAGACCTAATCATGTCCATTAGAGTTTTATTTCTCCTTTCAACTACACCATTTTGTTATGGTATATATGGCATAATTATTTGGTGAAATGTACCATGCTCCTAACAAAATTCATATAATAAGGTGGAGCAATATTCACCTCCCCTATCTGTTCGAAGAATTTTAATATGTCTACCTAACTGATTTTCTACCTCAGCTTTATATTCTTTAAATGTTTCTAATGCATCTGATTTCTTACTAATTAGGTATACATAATGTGAATAATCGTCAATAAATGTTATGGAATATTCTATACCTCTATATGTTTTCACATTTAATGGGCCACAATTATCATAGTGAACAATACTAAGTAGTTCACTAAACCTTTTTTCTTTAAGGAAAGGCTTCTCAATTAATTTACCAGAAATACATGGCTCGTATGTTTTGAACACAATTTCTCCTAAATTGGGGAGCAAGCATCTTTTAACCATATGATTTATTTTGTCTTTAGTTATATGTCGTAATCTTAAGTGTCATAAATATGAATAATTCATACATATAAAAGCATCAAAAGAAGCATCAATATAACCAGAAAAGGACGAACTTTCATTAATATTCAGTCAGTACAAATTGTCAACTTTAGTACAGTACACCAAAGCTCTAGAATAGTTCCCAATGGTAACCCGACCAGACCTGAACCTTATTTCATAACCCTTGTCGTCTAGCCTTGGGACAGAAATCAAATTGTGCCTCATATTGGGCGCATACATTGTATTAGTCAATAAGAGATTTGTTCATTTGGGTAAACATAGGTTGAAAGTACCAACACCTAGTACATCACAGTAGGTGTCATTTTCCATATAAATATGTTGGTTACCGGCAGCAATCTCTTTCAATTATGTGAATCCGTCCTTGGTCCTCGAGACATGTCGAGTGGAGGTTGAGTCGACCCACCAATTTCTTAGGTCATGATCGACAACTATTGATTCTGGGACTACGCAGATCAAGTCATTTCTCTTATTTTGATTATTTCAAACATGATTGTTATTTTGATTCCTACTTTTATTTTTCATCTTAGAACAATTAAACTTGATGTGCCCAATTTCTTTACAATAAAAACAGGTCTTCTCAATCTTATTCTTTTGATTTTTAAAATTTCTCATCGTTCCCTTATACCTATTATTTTTCTGATAATTAAAAAACGTTTCTTGAGGATCTAAGAAGATGAACTTTGGGCAAAGTGGAGCTTATTTGATTTCTTCCTCATTCTTCTCTCAGCTTCAATACTAAGATGCATGAGAAGATTTAATATGGTTATCCCTTGTGCAGAATGGTTCGTAGAATGGTTCAATGCAATTACAACAGACTCCCAAGATGGAAATAGACTGTTAAGGACAATGGACACTTGCATGTGATTGGGGACTAGATTCCCAGCTGCAGCAAGGTCTTTTACGAGCACTGTCATTTTATTGACGTGCTCAGTCATTGAGTCCATTTTTTTCATTCTGCAAGAATTGTATTTTTCTAACAACAATTGTACATAGGTTTCAGAAGTGGTCTCATACTTTTCAGATAGGGCGCCTATCATACTTTGAGCTTTTGTGTAATCCTCAAATACTCTAATTAAATTATCTTCTATAAAGCTCAACATAGTAGTCTTAGCTACTTTGTCATCTTTTAACCATTTTTCAAGTCGCCTTCTGGCTTGACCATTGGTATTAGGCTCTAAAATTGGCGGTTCTATTTCTAGGACATAATCTACCCTATCTTAAAAAAGAATATATCCAATTTTTCTTTTCCACATAGAAAAATTGGTCCCATTGAGTTTTTCAAGTTTGGATAATTCTGACATGACTAACCTAGATGTCATTTTTAATTTTTAGATAATACCTAAAAGTTCAAAAAAAAATTTAATTGTGTTTAAGAAAAGGTTGTCTGCTAGCTAAATCAATAAATTTGCCAACTCTCAGTGAGCTACAACTTCAAAGAAAAATTTTCTCGAACAGTTTATGTTCGCACTGTTGTGATGCAACAAAAAATTAACAAAGTAAGGCAACAATTACTTTTATGTCAAATCTTGCATAAGAATAATTTTCATAAATATTTGAATATGTCTTAGCACAAGATAGATAATCTATAATGATACTTGATATTTTTCAACAAAAAAATATGGCATTGCATAATCACAAAAAAAAAAAATTCACAAAATCAAGATCATGAAATTTTCTAACTTAAAGAGACCAAAGCATAGGATAATTATGCAATGCAGTGACAATTATTATGCAAATAAAATATGTCAAAAATCCCTAAATTATAGGTCATAAAAAAAATTAAATAATAAATAAATACATGCAATTGATATGTAAGCATTTATTCCAATAGAATTGGCACGTGCATAATAAGATTCAATAATATAAAAAAATATGTACTAATTTTCAGCAACAAAAAGATGGAAGAAATAAGATACCAGCGGCCTGATTTTCAACAATCCATGGTCAGTAAAAAAATATATAACAATATGCAAATTTAGATGCTCAGTTACCTTGCATAGAGTAGAAGGAAATTTTTTTAGACAGTCTTTACAAATTACTTTTATTATTATTATTATTAATTTTATTAGAAAATAGAGAGAAGAATTATTTTCCTTTTTTTCTGTTACTTGATCGTGGGCTCAAGTATGTACTGTATCAGCAACTTGACCTTATAGAGATAGAAAATAACTATACAACTTGTTCCTACTCTAAAGAGAGACTAATTTTGAGGCGTACAGAGAAAACCTAATATTGAGGCCTGAAACTAATATTGAGGCGTATACTAAGTCAAGATAATTTTTCTACAACAACCTTAAACTTATTTTCTCTCTCTTGTTATTCTTTTGATAATTCTTCTAACGTCTCAATCTCTTTAACTTTTCTCTACAAAAGATTAAACAGAAGATTTATCCGAGGCTATGATCACGTAAGCCAAATGCAATCTAAAGAGAGAAAATATGGCAAAAGAATTTATAGAGAGAAAATACAACCAACAATACCAGTAAAAACAAATATTGAATCGCAAATGAGAAGCAGTAAATTAAGAGAGCGAAATTTATAAAAAAATAAAAAAATAAATTAAGACTATTATATGAAAAACTTTACAGCAAGATATACGTGAATGAAAAGCACAATATCAAAGTTACTGTAAATTAAACTCAGAAAAAAACGAAAGATATAAAATACTAAAAAAAATTGGGACCTATAAGTTATGAGCCTACCACGCTTCCACAACCTGCTCCGATACCAATGTTGAAAAACTTGAGGGAAGAGATGGACCCCCTCCTAGGATTATTGGGGGATAAAAAACTTAAGGGAAGAGAGGGACACACTCCTAAGATTAGAAGCATTGTCTTGAGACTATCGATCGCAAAGATCTAGTAAAAGGCTATGTAAATTTATGTATCCCTTTCTATGGCCATAAAACCTTTTTTTGAAACCCTTTTTAAAAAAAGATGGAGGAGGTCGTTTTCCGACATCTTCCTTTAATCTCTGATAAAAAATAGACTTGTAATTTTGATAAATAAGTAGTTACTTTCTAGCCGTAAGATAACGGCGCTTTATCTCTCTACAAAACCTTCCTCAGTAATAAGCGAGAAATACTACACTTACAAAAAGCGTCCTGGCCACACACCACCTACTACCTGTTGCTCCGAAAGTGGAACTGAGATTTGAGATTCTCAACGTGCCAGCAAATGTTCACGTGGGTGGAAGAGCTTTACTTACTCTCGTAAACAGTAGCCGAGATTCACTGGAGGTATGTATATATACCTGTCAATTAACCCAATCTATATTTTACGCTTTGTTTATGTTGCTTAAATTTCCTCCTATGCTAACCAAAGGCTGTGGATTGATTGATGCAGCTACGCCTCACTGCTTTGAGACTGCTTCCATCTGATAAACACTCTTTGACCCTCCTCAACAATGTCAGTGGCATTGTGAAGCCAGGGAGGTAGGCCATGGAATTGACTCTTCACATCCTGTGTGTGTATGTGTAAAATGCCAGCTTTATGCTCAGATGAATTATGAAATATGGCAGGATGACCCTGCTCTTGGGGCCTCCCGCCTCTGGGAAATCGACATTGTTGATGGCTCTTGCTGGGAAATTGGACAAGACCGTAACTTTAAAAATTTTATCATTGGTAATGGACCCATTAAAGCTAATGCCTTTATGAAAGCAGGAACTTGCTGGTTGCTCCTTTTATTTTCATGCACATTGCCCCATTTTATATTAAACTTCAAACAAGCAAAAACAAAAAACTGCATTTTATATTAATGTATGATTGTGTATATTGCAGGCATGCATTTATAAACGTAGATGCAGCAAACTCTGTTAATGAATGTAATATGTGTTAAAACAAGGAAATGAGAGTAGGGGAATTTGGCCTTTTGCAACTCATTTAAATTCTTACTAGTACATGGAATGACAAGGGAAAAGGAGTGGGTGACTTTGGCCTTCATCTCATATGAATTCCTATCAGAACATCGAATCGTACCTTGGTGGATATATTGGATTTCGAAGTTCCCATGGGAAATGAATCATCAAGATGGAAAAATTCAATTAATCAATAAATTTTAGGACCTGTGTAAGAAAACATGAAATTGGGTTGAGACTCGCTATAGTCTCCTGCCCAGTTAGGTCTAATAGACTCCCACCGAGTCCCAAAAAAGCCAGACTTGGGCGGTTCCCCTGTGTGTGGTTCTGGGCTCGGCAGGGTGACAAGACAGAGTGTCTCGGGCAAGTCCAAGTAGACTTGGTCGAGTTTTCCATCACTAGCTAGGAGATATCCATGTAAATAAATAAATAAAATAAAATAAAATAAATAGAAGATTCTATGGAACACATTTGCAGATTTTTGCTGCTAGTTGACCCAAGCAATGAATTCAAAGCCTTCCTTCCATTCCTTCCACGGGCTGAGTGGTGGCACACTGCTACTCATCATTCAATGACTAATGTGACACCACTTGAAGTAATCTGTGGCCAACAATCACCTTTGTGAATTCTATTATTGCATGTAGTAGTCTATGTTCAACCACTTCCTCATCTGGCTTTGTAGCTTTGTAAATTCATTGGACTTTTAGTCTTTACATCATCATTATTATCATAAGAGCCTTTTCCAGCTATTTGGGGTCGGTTACACGAATCTTAGTCTTTTATTCTGCTCAGTGAGTCTTCACCATGTAGGTTAAATCCTATATTTTGGATGCATGATCAAGTGAAACAGAGACTAACTAGAAACATAGGAAGAGGGAGTTTAGTTGGTGATCTGATTTTCCTTTTGTTTCAGCCGTGCCACCTAATGTCCATAGTAGATTAGTAACCCAAGGCCTAAAGAAGATAGCTCTAAGATTTTGTGGACCTTACTGAGTTATTGAATGCATCAGTCGCCTACAAATGCTTGTTGTGATGACAAATCATCAATTGATCCACAAATCATGCTTAAAGAGGAGTTGGGGTTTTTGAGCAGTGATACTAGCTGTCCTTCATTCTTTTCTGGAGTAAACACATTTATCAAACATGTAATCATATTAGATAATCGGGTGTGCAAGTTCTAACATTGTGGCATAGCTATGGTCCTAGTTCAGTGCACTGATGTGGAAATGGAAAATGCTATATGAATTTACTACAGAAGCTTAAGGAATGGCGTTCCTATTCCAGCCTTGGATCATCCCCTGCTTCTCTCGGAAGTTTGGCATGGTATGGCCCATATTAGAAGGAATACTTGTTGATAAAATGATAATAGGAAGTAGACTTGGTATATTTTGGGGTGTGTCCAAGGAGGCTATGGTACATTGGATAAGAAATCTTGCATCTCATTGTTAATATACCTTGAAGATTAAAAAGAAAAGGCAAATGGGTAACTTCAATGAACAATATGCTGCTTTTATCTTTTGCTACCTTCTACTGAAATTGTTTGTTTGGCTTTTGTTAGACAAGTGGGCATATTACATACAATGGTGAGTCGCTTCAGAACTTCTACCCGAGGAGGACTTCTGCATATGTAAGTCAGATTGACAATCATATTGGGGAGCTTACTATTCGTGAAACACTAGATTTTGCTGCAAGATGCCAAGGTGCTAGAGGCCAAACCGCAGGTTTGCTTTCTCTATCCTATCAAAATTTGCTATTGTATAGTGACAGGTAGTCTCTTTGGTTTAGTGTTCCTTCAGATGTGGAAAAAGAAGAGTTAGGGGGATCCATTGTATAAATTCCCTCCCCCCTCCCGCCCTCTCTCTCTCTCTCTCTTCCCTCTCTTTAATACAGTGTTTTTCTTTAGTAGATTGAGTGCGCTAGTTTCTTGTTACTTGAAATGTGTGTTCCGCATCTTTGTTTTTAAACCTTGATATTGGAGATTGCTTTTGTATGTAGCCATATATATCTACACACTCTTCCCTTCTCCCCCGGTGGCTGAAATGTAAATTTCCTTCCACAGGCACCATGGAAGAATGCAATCTTGACATTCCTAGATTATGTAAGATCAAACTGGTAACCTGAATTCAGACCCTTCCATGGGGGTAAAACTACTTTACTATATGTTGAAACCTCTCGGTATCGTACATCAAAATTGAGGGCTTTGGATTAGAAGATTTCTAAAAAGGCTTTAGGATGGGTTAGTTGATAGATCACCTTCTGTGTGTGAGACATACTTTGGCAAGAATGCAATCTTGACATTCCTAGATTATGTAAGATCAAACTGGTAACCTGAATTCACACCCTTCCATTGGGGTAAAACTACTTTACTATATGTTGAAACCTCTCGGTATTGTACATCAAAATTGAGGGCTTTGGATTAGAAGATTTCTAACAAGTCTTTAGGATGGGTTAGTTGATAGATCACCTCCTGTGTGTGAGACCTACTTTGGCATAGTCCTTATAGTTGATGTTTCGAAACCTCTCGGTATAGTACATCAACATTGAGGGCTTTGGATTAGAAGATTTCTAAAAAGGCTTTAGGATGGGTTAGTTGATAGATCACCTCCTGTGTGTGAGAACTACTTTGGCATAGTCTTTTTAGCTGATGTTTCACGATGCTGTTGGCATACTGCTCCCTATAACTAGGGGCTAGGAGCAAGGCAAATGCAAAAGGTTGAAAGACGTGGCTGTTAATTTATTGATCTTGTATAGTAGGTTGAGTTGTGTGCGTGTGTGTGCGGATGCGAGACTCATGCTTGGGAGGGAGAGTTAGAGGGAGAGTTAAATGTATTACAGGTTACGTAGTGTGGATTTTTTATTAATTCAACTTTTAGGACTTGCTTATTTGCTGGACTTTTTGGTGGATTATTCTGGTAAAATATTCGCAGCTAATTGTTCTCTATTGGTAATTTATGCATAAACGATATCTGATGCATTGGAAGTGGCACGATTTTTCTGAATGGCATTAGATGGCAGCATTTATGTTGCCATGGCTTCATTCAGCTTAGAAGAAAACGCAGAATACTTTGAACAATTCATTTTGACTAGTCTTTCTTTTTATGTCCCAAATAGAGTTAAGTGTTATAGCAGGGGTTTCAATGACTAGTAACCCTATTCCACCAATACATAGGATAAAATTGTGGAATCTTTGAAGTACTTTAATACTTTGAACCATTCATTTTGACCAAGTCTTTCTTTTTATGTTCCGAATAGATTTAAGTGTTATAGCATGGGTTTCAATAACTAGTAACCCTGTTCCACAAATAAATAGGATAAAATTGCAGAATCTTTGATGTGCTTTACTGAGTGTTCTTGCAGCCACTGTTTTATGAGTAGACATTTCCTCACCCTTTCGTTCTTTCCATTTATTTTTTATCTGGAGTATTCTCTTAAATTATTGTGTTTATTTGTAGGATACCTGAGTGATCTGACAAATCTCGAGAAGGAAAGGAAAATACATCCAAGTCCCGAAATTGATGCTTTTATGAAGGTTACCATACTAATCTTGGCTGAGATTGTATTATACATTTTTCTGTTTTTTATAGAATGAGTTTGCATGTTTTCTAAACTATAAATTTGCCGCACAGGCAGCTTCAGTTGGAGGAAGCACTCCCTTGCAACTGACTATGTCATGAGAGTACCTGGTCTTGACATCTGTGCAGATACCCTAGTAGGTAGTGACATGGACAGAGGTGTTTCTGGTGGTCAGAAGGAGAGAGTGACTACAGGTTCTTTTCATGTTCCCTTGCTTTTTATCATGTTCCACTGACACTCTGTATTGTAAGAATTCCTAATGTAATGACGAAGTTCTTTGATCATGGATGCCACAAGGCTATGTGCTATAGAAAGTCTAATGAAATATTTTTTCTATCTTGCTTGTAACAATTCTATATTCTTAATTATTGTGAAGAATGATAGTAGCACACCCATAAAAAAGAAATGAGAAAACCTTATCAGCGGATGTCATTCTCTATTGGTGTCTTTCAAGGACATGGAAGAACCTTATTATTTATTAGTTTGTGACTCTTCCCAATTAATGTGTCACTAACCGTTAGAATTTGACATGCATAAATATGCAGTTACATATGTGCATGCACAAATATGATATTTCTCAAGAGAAATCAAATAAACCTTCTGCAATATCGTTTAGAAAAATCTGTGTATGTATTACTGGTGCCTTTCACACAATGAAAAGCTTCAAAAGTTGCATCTAGGTATTTGATTGTTCATGTTATGTAGTGAATACTTTCTGACAATGTCACAAAATTATTATGCATTTCAGGGGAAATGGTGGTTGGACCAAGGAAAACACTCTTTATGGACGAAATATCTACGGGACTTGATAGTTCCACTACTTTCCAAATTGTTAAATGCGTTGGAAATTTTGTTCATCTCATGGAGGGAACTGTGTTAATGGCTCTTCTTCAGCCAGCTCCAGAGACATTTGAACTTTTTGATGATCTAATTCTCTTATCTGAGGGACAAATTGTTTATCAAGGTCCTCAAGAATCTGTTCTGGAGTTCTTCGAGTCACTGGGATTTGTGATACCACTTCGCAAGGGAGTTGCAGATTTTCCTCAAGAGGTTTCTAAGATTACTTGTTGATACCATTTGGCCTTATTTTCTTATTCTCATTTTTGTTTCTCACTTGGCTCATTACATTCCTTTCCGTTCTACTTCTCAGGTCATGTCTAGGAAAGATCAGGCCCAATATTGGGCTGATAACTTGAGGCCTTATGTTTTTGTTCCAACTTCAAAAATCGCAGAAGCATTCAAGGAATCTAAATATGGAAAGCTCGTCGAGTCCAATCTTTTGGTTCCTTTTAATAAAGCAAATGAGAATCAATCAGCCCTAGCACGATCTAGATATGCTGTTTCAAAATGGGAGATTTTTAAGGCCTGCTTTGCCAGAGAACTTCTTTTAATAAGTTGGCATCGCTTCTTATATATCTTCAGGACATGCCAAGTGAGCCCCTTCTTTATCTTTTCATGATTCTCATTTTGTGCACCATGCAACATATGGCAATGGTGCTCCTATCATTTTGCATTTCCATTCTTCAGATGTTAGTGTCCTTTAGTTGTTTCAGAATATCTTTAGTAGGTCATCTATTTTCTGTGAACCATGCCTAAAACAATTCTACTTGTTTGTAGTTATTCTGTATAAATCTAATAAACAAAATCAAGGCACTTGACTAGCCACTAAGTTTTCATGGTAGTGGTTTTTGCTGATGTCATTGATGTTTACTCACCTATTTACTTGTTTACCATCCTAAATCTGTTAAAGTATTGCAAGTGCACATGTAGTTAAAAAAAGTCAGTATCATAAACTTCTAAAACGTACATGGTGTTGTGAAATTGTTTGCCTGCTCAGTCGTATCTTTTTGAGGAGTAGACATGTTTCTTATGAGACATTCTTTTTCCATTGTACTACTTTTCATGCTTGTGATATGCTTCATATCCTTCAGAAAATTTCTCAATATTTGAAACACTACCCGGATTGAGGATGAAATTCATCAATAAACAGGGGAAGCTTTTTTTGTTTTGAAGTTCGACGTAGTGGTGATATCATTTATTTTATGCATCTCTACAGTGTATTATCTCAAGTGGTTGTTTTTATTTTCAAGTACCTGATATAGAATTTTTTGCAGGTAGCATTTGTTGGACTTATCACATGTACGATGGTTTTAAGGACTAGGATACACCCCACTGATGAGATAAATGGGAATCTTTATCTACCTTGCTTGTTTTTTGGGCTTGTGCATATGATGTTCAATGGGTTTTCTGACCTGCCCATATTGATATCACGGCTTCCTGTGTTCTATAAACAGAGAGATAATTTGTTTTATCCTGCTTGGGCATTTTCGATTCCTAGTTTGATTCTGTGCATACCTTACTCCATTGTTGAAGCACTTATATGGTCGTGTGTTGTGTATTATACAGTTGGATTTGCTCCTGGAGGTGGCAGGTATTCCTTTTTCAGCTTTTGTTGTTGGTATATTTTTTCTATTTCCTATAACATTTTATTTTCTTTCTCATTTCTTACAATGTATTCAGGTTTTTCCGCTTCATGTTCATATTATTTTCAGTGCACCAAATGGCCCTTGGACTTTTCCGGACGATAGGTGCAATAGGGCAAGACATGGTGGTTACAAACACATTCGGTTCTTTTGCACTTCTTATTATGTTTTTGTTGGGGGGATTCATACTTCCAAGAGGTTAAAATGGCTGAATTTGAGTCTTTTCAGATATTATAGTGCCTTTCGGATGCATCCCATGCTTTCATGTGCTGATTTATAGTGGAAGTGTTGCATGACATGAATGAGTATGATCAGCTCACTGTTTATCTTCTTAAGCTTGTGGCCTCTTTTGATTTGAGATTATCGTGATGCAGATACCATAAAACCCTGGTGGATTTGGGGCTACTGGATATCTCCACTTTCATATGGACAAAGTGCAATATCAATAAATGAGTTCATCGCTCCTCGATGGATGAAGGTGTGCTATTATGTGTCTATCCATAATTTCTCTTAGCGTTCCATGCAATATGGATATCCCTTATATAATTCATATGAAATTAATACTGTCAATCATTTTTGACTTACATCTTTGAGGCAAATTAATTAGTTATCTTATTCTCTTACTACATTTTGTGGCAGGAATCAACTTTTGGGAGTGATACAGTAGGACACAATGTGCTCAGATCCCACGGACTTCCTGTGAGGGGATACTGGTATTGGCTTGGTGTAGGGGTTTTACTGGCATACAGTGTGTTTTTCAAAGTTTTATCAACATTAGCTCTGAAATACCTTAATGGTAGGTTCCCCAATGTTTGCCATATTTTTGTTACTGTAACTGTTCTGCGTGAATGATTATCCAAAAGATAATCCTCTATTCTTAGTAAACTTATGTACTTGAATTTATGATATTTGAACTCTTTTCTATTGACTCAGGCAGTTATTCCTTCTGATGCCATAAAGGGAAGTAATGTTGAAGATGATCATTCCCACTCTTCTGGTCAAAGGTCTAATATTTATTTTGTATTTGGTTACAGTTTACTACCATAAACATTGGCAGTTTATGCAAAATATTTTACTGTTCATTTCAAGTTTCAGTTCCTGCTACATATAGTTTTGCTATGATGTTGACCCTGACAACCAATTTAACTGCTGTAATAGTACCTCATACGGCTTCGGTTTTAGGCACCAGCCCTGAAAGATCCACTGTAAACACTAATTCAAAGAATGGGATGATTCTTCCTTTCCAGCCATTATCAATGACGTTCACAATGTGAATTATTTTGTCGATATGCCCAAGGTGAATCATGTATTTGGTTAATTTTTACTAGATTTAATTTTGTTTTTCTTGTATCAAGGGTTTATTCAACTTGTGGATCTTTGAAATTTTTAAGGAAATGCTTCGTGAAGGCGTTCCTGAAAAGAGGCTCCAACTTTTATCAAATGTGAGTGGGATATTTACGCCCGGTGTCCTTACTGCTTTGGTTGGTTCAAGTGGAGCTGGGACTTATGGATGTGCTTGCTGGTAGGAAAACCGGTGGATATATTGAGGGAGATATTAGAATATCAGGTCATCCTAAAGAACAGAAGCCATTCGCAAGAATTTCAGGATATGTTGAACAAAATGATATACACTCCCCTCAAATAACAGTAGAAGAATCCCTGTGGTACTTATCATCGTTATGCCTTCCAAAGGAAGTCACCCGAGAAAGACAACTTGTCAGTTTCCATCCTTATTTGTTCCATCCATTTGTCCATTTGTTGCTTTATGTTTCTCAAACAATATGCCTTGCAGGAATTTGTTGAAGAAGTGATGAAATTGGTTGACACTCTCAGACATGCTCTGGTTGGTCTTCCTGGGAGTTCTGGTCTCTCAACTGAACAAAGGAAACGGCTAACTATTTCAGTGGAGCTTGTAGCTAATCCTTCAATTATCTTTATGGATGAACCCACATCTGGCTTAGATGCAAGCGCTGCAGCTATCGTGATGCGTACTGTTCGTAATACTGTTGATACTGGCAGAACTGTGGTTTGCACAATACATCAACCAAGTATTGATATATTTGAGTCATCTGATGAGGTTGATAAACACATTCGCTACTCTATGGAACTCTATGGGACTATTATGTTCAATTTTTTAGTTTATTTATTTTTTATTGCCCGGATATCAACTTACTTTATTTTGTTCCAGCTCCTCCTTATGAAGAGAGGTGGACAAGTTATCTATGGAGGTCCACTTGGAGAGCACTCACAGTTGATGATAAAGTAATTCCAGCTACATTTTTTATCTTCTGAAGTGGGATAAAATAGCTCTCTTATTTCATGAGTCCTCAAAATGATGAATAGGCTGTTTTGTCATATTAATAATCAGGTTATTTCAAAAGACTAAATGGCCATTTTTCTTATTTAAAAAATTATAAACGATTATTTGGAATATCAATGCATCTCTAGGTTTCTGATCTTGAACTGTGGGGTTCATTTATATTTTTACTTACAAAATGTAAGTTGAAATTTTTGAGCTGTCCTGGTCACAAATAAGCACACTACACTTACCATCTTCCAGGTTGAATCTAATATTACACTCCTAGGATAAGAGATTATGTTTCCCCTGCTGTTTATTAACACTTGTCACTGTATAAAGTATTCCATGGTTTGCTTGACAGTATTGTAAATGAACTATTTCTTCTTATTGCACAGTCAATTACTGGGATCCCTGCTATTCCCCATGGATACAATCCTGCAACATGGATGCTCAAGATCAGTACACAGGCTTGGGAGCAGAAGATAGGCCAGGACTTTGTGTCAATTTATAGAAACTCTGATCAATACAGGTGGGGATCTAAACCTTGTCTGATGGTGTCGATTTGATTTGGAAGTTAGTCCTTGCTAATTCTCTAGCTTAATCTCATGCTATTTTCTTATTTGCAATTGAGTGCACTTTAAACCTTCACCTTCAGGGAAGTAGAGGGTCTGATTGAATGTTTAAGCAATCCTGTTGCTGGCTCAGAGCCCCTGAAGTTTGCTACCGAATTTCCACAAGACTCTACCACCCAATTTAAAGTATGCCTTTGGAAACAAAACCTGACATACTGGAGGAGTCCTCATTACAATGTTGTGCTGTTGTTCTTCTCCACAATATGCGCGTTGATATTTGGCTCTGTATTTTGGAATATTGGATCGAAGAGGTAATTCTAATGGCTGTTTAGCTCAGACTTTACAAACATTCGTGGTGATGCAAGAGACATGCACACAGAGATCTCTATGATGCTCCGGACACTCTCTTGTTCATGTGCGTGTATCTGGTGTGGGTCTGTGTTTCTGTGTGTGCCTGTGTCTATTATTCTCTGTAGTCTGGCATTAAGGAGCTGTTTGCTGCAACTGAGTTCAAACATCTAGAGTTAGGTATTATGGTGTAGTAAACAACAAAGGCCTTCATCTGTTATGTACTACCCTCAACTATTGGTGTCCTCGTATCAATCATTTGGCTTTCAAAAAACCAAGGCTTGGAATTTCTTATAATATCTGCCTCATAGCGAGTACATATTACCAACGATGTTTGGGAAAAATCAGAGAACTTGGCTCCCTTTATTGTTCATACCTTTACTATTCTAGGATCCTTTCCTTCGATATCTACAGGTGGCACACCTTACTTTGGCCGGCAAATTCACCTATAGTTGGTTGATTAAATGTCAAAGATGGCCACATAGTAGCCATTTCTAAGATTTTACTTTTTGTTTCAGGGAAACAATGCAAGACTTATTCAATGTGATGGGGGCTCTTTATTCAGCTTGTTCGTTTCTTGGAGTGAACAATTCCTCATCAATACAACCAATTATATCCAGGGAGAGAACTGTTTATTATAGAGAGAAGGCTAGTGGGATGTATTCTCCTTTCCCATATGCAGCAGCACAGGCAAGAAATTTGACCATTTTATATGTTTACGATTATTAAGTTTTAAAATCAGTATTAAAACCATATCTGTTGCGATTGATAGGGTCTTGTGGAGATCCCATACATTGCTGTTCAAACATTACTTTTCTGTGGCATTACATACTTCATGATTGGCTTTGAGAGAACACTAGGTAAGATATCCTTTATAAGTACCTTTGGGAGGAACCTCTCTTGTTTCTCTTTTGAAATGAGAGATATTCCGCATGCTAAATTTGATTAAAATATAGATGATAAATTCATCTTATAGTAGTTGTTTGCTTGTCCATTAAGATGGTGCAAAAAATATGGTGTTTGAAATGCTTTGTATCAGGCATCCCTACGTCCTCTTGATGGATATTTAGTATTAGTCCAGTTATTAAGATGGTTTTGTTCACAAAGTCAGATATGCTACAAAGAAATGTATTGCAAGCATTAATAAATTAATTATCTAACTATTTGTGCTGATGTTTATAGCCATTTGCTTGCTTTTGGCTTCCTGTTCTTTTGAGGAAGTTAACCCCTAAGCAGTAGCATTTATTGAATCTATCACATCTTGCTATCTGATGGGGAATAAAAAAACACTTAAAACTGCAAGCAAGCACTATCATTTAATCATGGATAACTGTTTGGTCTCATAATTTACTTTTTCTTTTTTTCTTTTCATTTCTACTCCACCGGACATGATCCAAGCAAAGAAATTTATTGCTTGATGCATGAGACATGTCGATATCCCCAAAATCTAAAATTATTATCCCTTACTTGTGTTAATATCGACTTCATGTCTGGGTGTCTCCATGTACCATCTACTGCTAAGCATTTTTTGTCTTACAGAAATTCTTCTCTACTGTTTATTAAAAAAAAAAAGAAGAAGAAATTGTCCTCTATTGGATGGCGGGGAGATAGGGGTTGTTACTCTATGTTTACGTTGTCGGTGTCCTATACATATTTGTTTTTCAATTTTCTTTTTTTTTTTAAACTGTTCATGTTTGGTATCCTACACTTATTGAAGGTGTATGATATAGCAACAATTAATTATGACATGAGGACCACATGGCTGTTTACAACTGCACAAATAAGCAAGATAAAAAATATTGACATATTAAGACTCCAAATTTTTTGTTTTCTTAAATATATAAGGGGTTTAGTGAGAACTAAAAATGAAAAGATTAATACATTGAAGGATGTATTTAACATATATATCACATTACTTATGGCCAAGTGATTGGTCTAATAAGGGTGAGGACTTTAAACTTTTCTTTAACTTATCTCAAGCCCAGGTAAAGGAGGTGGGTTGCATTAGGTAGGCAATCATCATAAAACTTAGATACATCTTCTCTTGAATCTTGAATCTATTGAAGAATGAAGGAATAAGATTCATGTACCCAACCCTAAATCATTGGGATAAAGCTTGAATGATGATGATGATGATGATGATGATGACTTATGGCTAAGTGATAAATGTACAATGAAGTATAGAGGGCCATAACCCGGTTATGGTCCCTCTTGCGCAGGGTTCCGGGAGGGAAAGACTGGATACGGTCCTAACCTTTGGCATTTTTTCACAAAGTGGCAGCCCTCAAAGTTTGAACCTGCGTTTTCACAGTGGCAGCCTGAGCTTTTTACCATCGTGACGGCCCCAAATGTAAAATAAAGTATATATTAATAAAATGTTGGCTGAAACCTAGCTAACCGACCCAACTTTTAAGTTCATGTGGTCTATAAAAATATATAGCTGGAGTTTTGCAACAATACTGTATAAGCTTCTCCAATATTAAACTTCATTGAAGTCTATAACTTAATGAAGTGGTTATTACGATTTATATTGTTGTCCTGATTTTTACTGTAAATTTTTGGATTCATTACCAAAGAGGATCCTTAATAAAGCTTGTCAGTTTTGCAGTGAAGTTCTTGCTATACCGCTTGTTCATGTTCCTCACTTTCTCCTACTTCGCGTTCTATGGAATGATGGTGGTTGGTTTGACGTCCTCTCAGCAACTCGCGGCTGTTGTCTCTTCTGCATTCTACTCATTATGGAAATTTCTCTCTGGTTTCCTTGCCCCAAAACCAGTAAGTGACATCTTCATCCTTAGTACTTCTTTAGCTTAGCTAATGGACACTAAAATTTGACTCTTGCCTATTTTATTTAACAAAAGGGATCGTATACTATAAGGCTGTTACGTTTGGTGCAATAAGGCTCCAATCGTCCCTAGCCATTGGATTTGAAATTGCGTGGGTGGCATTTGAACAGGAACCCTGCCAGTTGTATTAACCTCTAAACATTTGTCCATTAATAATTAGGCCTAAGACTATGAACTGTCTTAAAGAAATGGAGTAACAGAAAGAGAGAACGTGTTCTTTGTCTCGACTATGAAATGTTTCATGGCAATCTCTCTCTCTCTTAGATGATCCCTGGTTGGTGGATCTGGTTCTACTACATATGCCCGATACCCTGGACCCTACGAGGGATCATAACTTCCCAACTGGGTGATGTGGACACTAGGCTGGTGGGACCAGGCTTCAATGAAACAGTGAAAGAATATCTTGAGGTATCTTTTGGCTACGACACTGGCATGACGGGTATCAGTGTAGTCGTGCTCTTGCCATTCATCTTGTTGTTCTCCAAATTTGCAGCTTCCATCAAGTTCTTGAATTTTCAGAAGAGAAGAGATGAGATGAGACAAGATAACTTTTTCGTCTTTTTAGTTCCATGGTTAGGAATGGGCTCAAGGCTAGGCGGTCAGGGTTGTGAGGCACCACAACATACATGAAGTCTTTTGAGTTCTATTGCTCCAAAACGCTAAACTAACAATTGTTCCTTTAAAAACAACCAACCTTTAAAGAAAGGGAGAGGTGGCTTTGTGTACTTCTTATTGACATTTCGAGATGAAAGGTGAAGAAGAAGTTTCTTTAGTTGTGAAAATATCAGACCCAAGTGTGTGCCCTTGCTGTGTTTTACCACGTAAAAAAAAAAAAAACGTTGTAGACTCCACCCTTCCCTATGCTACATTGGTTACCTTTTTCCTTTTCAGAATCCATACTCTAAATCACTCTGTAGATTTAACAATCATATGGAACCCCTTTGAGAAGAAGCTAGGGATGGGAATGGATCCAGACCTGACCCAGCAACCCAAGGGTAGACGCAATCCAAGTCTGGGTATGAGTCTAAAAATAAGACCCAGTGGATCGGGTCTAGGTCCAAATCTTGGACTCAAACACTACTCGGGTAATTTTTTTTGGGTCCCAATATATTTAAATATTGTTATATACATAGATATTTTAATTTTTGGGCCGGGTCTGGATCTGGGTCCCACACTATATTTTTGCATCTGGGTTCAATGAATTTACGTTCGACCCTGCCCGTGACCCATTGACACCCCTAGAAGAAGCTTTACTTTATACTGGTTATCAAAAAGAAAAATAATCCAATGAGCTAGGGTAGTTCGAATCCAAATTTTTCATCATTATAACATTAGAATATAAGTCTGCAGCCTGTACCTCTTTGTCTTAGTTGTGGATGACTTAACTAGGCATCTAGAGAATGAGGTACCGTAGTGCATGTTGTTTGCGATGTAGTTTTGATTGATGAGACCCTCGCGATATAGTTTTGATTGATGAGACCCAAAACGACGTCAACACAAAGTTAGAACTTTGGTGGGATGCTGTAAAATCCAAAAGTTTTAAAATTAGTCGGACTAAGACAGAATATATGGAGTATAAATTTAGTAATAATAGGAGTAGAGATGAGGAAGTAGTTAAGATTGATAGCCAAGAAGTACAAAAAAGATCGTACTTTTGATATCTTAAGTCGATAATCCAGGAAAATGAAGAGATTGAAGAAGATGCCGCACACGGAATTAGAGTTGGGTGGGCGAAGTGGAGATGTGTAACTGGAATTTTATGTGATCACCACATACCAATGACATGAAGGGCAAGTTCTATAGGACAATAGTGAGACAAGCTTTGCTCTATGGGGCGGAATGTTGGGCGGACAAAAAATAATTAACTCATAGAATGAGTGTAGCGGATCTATGGGGCAGAATATTGAGCAGACAAAAAACAATATACTTATAGAATGAGTGTAGCGGAGATGAGAATATTGAGATAGATGAGTGGCAAGACAAGAAGGGATAGAATTCACAATGAATTTAGACGTGGCACCAATAGGCGATAAAATGAGATAGAGTAGACTCAGGTGATAGAATGAGAGAGAGTATACTCAAGTGCGCTGGCCATGTATGGTGCCGACCAAATACATCACATGTTAGGAGGTACGAATTAGTTCAAGTGAAAAGACTGAAAGGGGTAAGTCCAAAAAGACGTGGTTGGAAGTAGTCCAAAAAGATATGGAGATTTATAGCCTCACTGAGAATATGACCTTTAATAGAGTAGAATGGAGAACTAGGATTCATGTAGCTGACCCCAATTAATTGGATGAAGATGATGATGATGATTATAACATTATAATATAAGTAAAACAAAATATAATAGACGACTAATATGCTATTAACAAAGTTCAAGATTGATTGCAAAATTGATATTTATTCAAAATTTTATGAAGAATATACATAATTCAGCCCAAAAACTCCATCTAGCCTGATGACTTATACTGTTCCATAAGCCCATCGCCCTCTTAATGATAAATGTCAGTTGGTGCTGT